AGAGGGAAGAGATTCTGAGTGGCTAATTTCTCGGGATCAAATGAACCAATTGGTCAATCAAATGGTGATCATAACCTTTCTCGCTCAGTGCTAGAGGTGAGCTGCATCTATTACCATTTTACACATTGCTTGTCATTCTCATGTCTCAAATGTCTAATTCTACCATCTGTGCTTTCTATGAATCTATTTCTTTTCTGTTTTGACACGGCATCTATAAAGAAAATTCTCTTTTGAAGCTTTCATCAAATAAAAATCTACTATGCCAAATTATTCATGCTGAAAACATTTCTTTATCGTTTCAATGTTATGCCTTGCAGCTGCAAATCAATGACGAGCGATTTCAGGATGCTGAGGAAATGGACCAAGAAAGTGAGAGCAGCCATCGGTGAGCTGCTCTCCTAATTTATTTTCGTAAAGGTAGGTTTGCTCTGTTTTGTACATGAAACGGAATCTGTGTTACTCGTTTTTGTAACTTATCTAGGGTAGCGAGTCTTTTGAAGCTGTTTGTCAGGCCAAATATTGTTAATTTATGAGTTTTAGATGTTTTATATTTATGTTTTGGCTTAGATATTCCAATCAAGAATGCAATTGAACATGATAATTTTGATTGGCTCTGAGGATGTTAAATTGTCACTCCATACCATAATTCCCATCAAGGAGACAAATCCATTCTCTTTCTCCGTTTGAAAATTTGAAGAAGATGCAAGAGGGACCAAGAAAGTGGATTGGACTGAAACTGAAGTTGAGAAAATCTTTGAACCGAGGACTGGATCAGTATCGGTTTTGTCTCTATTATGAAGATGCAAGAGAATAAATCCAAAGTAATATCAAAGTTTTAGATTGTAATTTCAAGGAAGGAAAATAGCGGTTTATGAGTTTGGACCTTTGGGAGCAGGTTGGATAAAGTTCGGTAGAGGTGAGCAACAGTTTAAAATCAGACTGGACTCTTTAGGAATTATTTTGGACTGAAACTGAACTTAAGAAAATTTTTGGACCAAAGACTGGATCAATGTCGTTCTAATCTGAATCGAATGCACTGGTTTCATCTGGTTTTTTTAATCCAAAACGAATTTTACACCCATAAAATTTTGATTATATATGGAGCCCCTGATCCCAATGGATTTAAATGAATTTAAGAAAATGCTGCAACAGACCTCAAGGAATAAATCTTCAATCTATATATAATATGTGTTGAAATCGTATCACATTTTCATTGATAATTAAACAAAAATCTAAACTATTCTAGGGTTTCTAACCAAAGAATTTAAACATGTAAAAAATATGAGAGAACCAAAAATAAAAAATTTACAACTTTACATTTGAACTTTGCAGATATTTAGCCCTACGTCTCCAAAAAAATTTTCGATAACTCTTTCATAATTTTCTAACACTTTATAATAATTCATTAACTTCGTATAGAAATTACTGAACATTGCGTAGTTACTTAATTACCACGTAACATTAAGTAATTACTACAGAAATTTACTGAATTATTATCAAATGTTAGAATATGGCTTGAGTTATAGCACCTCCAACTAGCTGCAGACTTTCTGCAGATGAATCTCTTGAGTCTGGAGAATTTACAGTGATGATTCTTAGTCTGATTTCTGTTCAGTGTCTGCTGTAGCTTGGACTTGAGCTGCGTACTGTAAGTTCCAGAGAACATCCTCGAAAGAGGGACGAGATGATGGATCAGGACATACACATTTGTTTGTGATAGATATTGCAATTGACAATGATTCTTGTGAGCTAGTTGTTAGAATTACTGGATCAACAATTTTCTTTCGGCCATCCTGGCTACCAAAGGATGCCTGCGATTCAAAGCATAGAGTTTGGAAGAAATTTAGCTTGAGCAGAAAGTGTATCGAAAATTTTCCACTAAATTTCAAATTTTGTGTCTAATCTCAGCTAATTTTAAGGTAATACATATTGAATATTACATACAGATTTATGTGTTCACTCATTTCATTTCAATACTTAATAAGAAACTGACTCGCAAAGATAGGTAAGCATATCGCGAGTATCAGACTTAACCTCAAATTTATCTCAATGATGGTCTCTAGCTTACCATTTCATTTAGAAGAAATGTCTCTCCTTTGCCGGTTACTATAGGCCCCACGAGTGATTCGAGCAATATAAATCCGAAGTTGTAGACATCATCCTCAGATTTTGGCCATCTGCCGAAACAAACAATTGCAGCAAAACTGAGTACTCATAAATTCCAATACATAAGTTTCATGATTGCTATAATCATGAAGATTAAGTTCGAAATCTAATATCACGAACTATGTTAAGAAAATGAAACTTTTAACCTTGTTCAAAAGAGAACTTATAGTCAATATATTGAATTGGTAAATAAAGATTCATACCTTGACTTAGGCTCTTCACCCTTTATCTGCGAAACAAACAACAATGAGTTAGAAAAACAACTCCTAAATGAAGATATAACTGCCAAATTGACAAGTTAACCACCAGTTAGCATACCTCGAGCTTTTCATTCTCTTCTGTCATGAATGATATACCATAATCACTCAGTTTTGGGATATGGTGTTCATCAAGTAATATGTTATTTGTTCTCAATCGGTTCTTGAAGGAACCAGGAATTACCCCGGTATGAAGAAAATGAACAGCCTTTGCTATGCCAATTAGAATGGCTAGTCTATCTGACCACTTCAGAACCTTTTCTGGACAATTTTCTGCAGAAAATTTGAGATTAAAGGTTGACAGCATATATAAAATACAAATCTAAAGAGCCAAACAGTAGAGATATAGGTGTGACGCCCTGGACCGAGAAATCACTAACCCAACAACTCGTCGGACCCAAATTATTATCTCACAAACTTCAAAATTTAAGTTATAAGTAGTATTTGACTTGAATCCTTATATGAGGTTTAATAATTACATCTTTTTCAAGTATGAGATTGAGGTATCATAATCTCCATGATATAAGATTAAGATATTACAATTGGCACTACTAAAATTTTTGATATTCTCGTTAAGGTCACATATTACAATCCTCCAAGATTACAACAGTTTGATGTCACCAAGTTGGCACGTGCTTTGATCCTATTTTTAACGTACCAGACACAAGAACAACTAGCCTAACTTTTTAACCTAAAACGACTAGTCCTCAAAAAATCAAGTTTAATCTCAAGTTATTGGTAATGTGAGACTTAATTATTTATATGGAGTTCGACAATCACATTTTTTCCTATGTAAAATTGAGATATTGAATGTCTCTACAATATATGATTCGGTATATGAAAATTGTGATATTCTAATTCTATTTTGGAAAAATATGTAATTAATAAATTACATAAAATGATTCAAGTCAGATACTACTAATATTTGAACTTAAACTTTTCACTACCAGTGATTTTGATAAAAAAAGTTGTGGATTGGTGATGCTCATGCAATGCAAGGCCCAGTCTGGTCTTGGTTCAGTTTTGGACCGATACAGAACACTATGCACACAAGCAATACAAAAGGGCATCCATTTTGGTGCTTTACTTCAATTAGTCACTAAGGCAAAAGGCATTCTAGTTTAAACCATCTAGTCCATAAACTTCCTAGAGACCAGTCCGTAATATTTTCCTTCTATACATGTAATTGTTTGTGTATATACATAATTCTAAGCCAATTCTGTCAAAGTTCACGTTCAACAATGCTACACTGACCTGATAATTTGGCACGGTAGTTTCCATTAGGCACATATTCATATACAAGAAAGACTTTACTTGCACTGATCTCATCTCTTCCACCACTCTCAATGCAGTGACCCCAAAGTGCTACCAAATGTGGATGATGAAGCTTTGAAAGCAAGTCTACCGACTTTAAGGTTTTGAACCGAAAATTTCTTTAATAAAGACAAAGATCTTATGGCAACATAAGTTCCATTTTCCAATCTTCCTTTGTAAAGCTGAAACAAAAGAAGCAGAAGCTGTAATATCCTTGAGTATAGTATATGTAAGTAGTTCAGCCAAACTGTATTCTCATTAGTCAGGAAACTAAGTACTTGATAGTATTTCATTATCAAGAATATGATTACCCACAAGGTGAAATATAGATAAGAATCAACAATATCGATGAACAGAAGTTAAATCTTGTGATTTGTTTACATAGACAAGAATGACAAGAGCTCTAGTTGGGTGTACTAGTTTCGAAAAGGTACCTTCCCAATAGAGCCTTCCCCCATGAACATTGATGAATCGAAGTTGTTTGTGGCCTCCTTCAACTCTTCGAAGGAAATAGATCGAGATGCTGGAGAACCTTGTGTCCCAAGCTTCACCGTTTGAGAAATAAACCCTTGAAAAGACAGGAAACCATAATAAGCGCCTCAAGTCTTTATAAGTAACAAAGTCCGGGCTCTTAGTTTGTCGATAAGTTCAATAAATTAAAATGTGTTTACATATCCTGAATCTGATAAAAAAGAGTTGATAACCAAAAAAGAAAACATGGTAGGTTTTGCAGCTTACTGGCATTTGCAAGGACCTCAGAGGAAACTCCAGCCAGTGGATTATCTTGCACAAGCTTAGGTCGCGTACGCTGTTCAAAGGTAGCGCCTTTAGAGTATCTTCTAAATAAAACAAGAGATCCCAATGCTAAAAGCACCAAAATAAGTACAGCTCCAACAATTACAGCAATCAATACTCCTATTGATTTTCGTCTTGATTGTTTCAACCCCATACCAACCACTTTACAATGTGATTCCTGATGCTGATCTCGATCATCAATGGACAAGCAATTCCCACCAAATTTAACCACTCTTTTATCTGATATTCTGTCTAAGCATGAAGGAAGTTCACCCGTTAACTTGTTATTCGAAATATCAACAAAACCGAGGCTGCTACCACATTTTAGCTCAGGGAATGAACCACTGAACATGTTGGATGCTAAGTTCAGGTAACTGATGTTTGGCAAAGAGAACAATGCAGAAGAGGGTGTCCCACTAAGATTATTGAAGGATAAATCAAGGTGCTGAAGCTGACTTAATGTGCCATATTGTTCAGGAATATCTCCGGAGAATGCATTATCGCTTAGAAGAACAGTTACCAATCTTTCAGGTATCACAGGCAGCTTGGAATCTAAATGATTATCTCTTAAATCCAATACATTTAGGCTAGTTATGGTACTCAAATCAGGTAATTTACCAGAAAGCTCATTATGAGACAAGGCAAGATCAATTAATGTGGTGATTTTGCATATTGAGGAGGGGAAAAGGCCAGTTAACCAATTGTTCTTGAAGCTCAAAGTTGTAAGGTTCGACAACGAATCCAAGGAATCCGGTATACTACCATTAAAATAATTGGCATCCAGTGTTAGAATTTGAAGCTTAACCAATCTAGATATTTCAGGTGGAAGAGTACCAAAGAAGAAATTGGAGCATAAGTCTAAAACTTCAAGCGAAGATAATCTATGAATTTTGTCAGGCAATGGTCCCCAAATACCCAAAGAAGTTAAACTGAGAACTCTCAAGCTTGTTAACCTTGTTAGTGTGGTAATGAAAGAATCCATAGAGAAACTCTCAGAGAGAGTTTGATTGGGTATTGCAAAACCATTGAACTCACTGACCTTGACCAGCTTATCCCCCATTATTTTAAGCTCAGTGACAGAATTATCCTGGCATGAGATGCTCATATGTGGAGATGAAGAGATGTTGCAAAAATCTCCCGTGTAATTTCCCCAAATGTCCAAAGGTGAAGGGTACTCTAAATGCTTCCTAAGCTGTAAGAGAACTTGAGTATGAGAGGTTTGCAGTTCATGGGAAGTGTGAATAAAGAAAACCCATGAAAGCAACAATACAGGAACCAAATCCAAATGCCCCATTGAACAAGTTTGTGCAGCACCAACCAAAGTCTTGAACTTTGAACAAAAGAAACCCAACAGCAAGAGCAGAACTTTACACTTTCAAGCCAAAATGAGCTAAACCCAATACAGATTTCTTCATGCAGAATTAGACAAAGAGATCCCCTTGGGCAATTCTTTCCTCGATTTCCAACTTTTCCATGAATTAGACAGATGCCCCATTGAACAAGTTTGTGTAACACCAAAGCCTTGAACTTTAAACAGAAGAAACCCAACAGCAAGAGCAAAACTCAACACTTTCAAGCCAAAATGAGCCAAACCCCGTAAAGATTTCTTCATGCAGAATTAGAAAAAGAGATCCCCATGAACAATCCTTGCCTAGATTTCAAACTTTCCCACGACTTTCATAAGGGATTAAAAATGAAAAATTCAAACAGAACTGGGAACTATGTTATGTGCTTAGAGACCCACGCAAGAAGAGTCCTCCAAGATTCCACCAGATAGAAGTTTAGGAAGCTGAAATTCAAGCAAATACTGGAGATAGCACCAAATTCCTAAAATCTTAAACAAGTTTGCAGCACCAAAGTCTTAAACTTTAAACAGAAACCCAACAGCAAGAGCAAGAATTTCTACTTCCAAGACAAAATGAACAAAACCCTGTTAGCCAAACAATACACGAACGGGACCAAAGAAAGATTTCTTCATGCAGAACCAATAAAAAATACCCCCATGAGCAATTCTCGTCCAGATATTGAACATTCTGATGAGAAGTTTTTAAAAAATGAATAATTCAAATAAAACGAGAAACTCAGGAATGTGCTGAGAGAAGCTAAAATTCAAGCAAGTACTAGAGATTGCAGAGAAAAAACCTTACCAGGAAAATCAGTCAAGACCCCATTTTTTTTTTCTCAAGACAAACAAAAACGCCAGAGCAGAGCTACAAGAAAACCATGAAGAAGAAGAAGAAGAAGAAAAGAGCCGTCAAAGCTCACGATCCAAAACAAGTCTGCCTCCTCTCTCAGAAATTTCCAAGTACATTTTCAAGGCAAAAAAAAGGAAGACCCAGGAAGCAAAAACTGGAGATAGTAACAGAGAAAATCCAGAACAAGACAAACAAAAAAAAAAAACGTGAGAGAACTGGACCCGTGAAGAGAGATAGATTAAGAAGCTAATAACACCGCCACCAACAACACTACCACATTAATAATAAAGAATGGTGGGGACTGGTTTGAGAGAAGTTTCAGAAGAGACACAGATAACGCATTTACTGCAGCTACTGGTACTGGGTGAGAGACCGATAGCGACGAGTTTATCTAAAGGAGAAAGAGAAGGAAGAAGAAGGTAAACGGGGTCTGCGATTGTCTCTGTGTGTGTCTCTTATGTGTGTTTCAGTGAGGGGTAGAAGAAGGAAGAAGATGAAGATTGTGAGGATGCAATTTGTTTAGTGTAAATCTTGATAGGATTTTAACGTTGGAAACATAAAAAAATTTGTTTAAGACGAATTGGGTAAATTATTTATATTTAATCAAAAAAGACGATTAGCGAATTATTTAAACCCATGTGATCATGATTGACATTTTTATGTTTCTATTTTTTATTTTTCAGTTAAAATTATTGAAATGTTATGACTGTTCTAATCATCACTCTCAAATATTATAGTTTAATGCAGTCTTTTTAATATATTAGTAAATTAAATTATAAATTTTTTTAAATTAAATATTATGAATTAATCATATCTAATTTATTATACACACACAAAATAATAAAGTTAATATATTTAATAACGTTGTTGGTGGTAATATAAAAACGATAACATAGTAAATTCAAACATTTATAAATAAAAAAATTGAATTTATCTCAAATTTAAAAGAAAGTTTAAATTTTTTAAAAATATGTCAGTATTGCAATGTATACAATTTTATTATTTTATTATATTAATGTAAATATAATTATAAAATTAAATTATTAATGTAGATTAAAATTATATTATTATAGTTTTTGCTAAATTATTTATAAAAACAATAAATGTTAAAAGGATTCAACTCTAAGTTATAGACAACGAGTAACTCAGTTAAAATTTATGAAATAAATAAATAGTAAATATTTAAAGGCACAAAAAAAAGAAATAAATAAATAATTAAACATAAAATCTTGAGGAAGAAAATGCCAATCACTAATCTTCAAAAGAATCAATGTACATATAGAATAGATACATATATATATATATGTGTGTGTGTGTATGTATATGCTTCTTTTTGTCTAAAAAGAGGCATGAAATTCAGCATACACAAAATGGAGAGTAAAAAAGGTGTAGTTTATTGGGCAGACAAAGAGGCATGTTTCTTGAGGGCCCCGAGAAAGCTGGGCTTGGAATTTTCTTATCTGGATTTTGGAATAAAACAAAGTGCACAAGACCCATCTCAATGACTATGAGAAAAAGAAAATACATATATATATATATATATATATATACATAATTTATATAATTTATTTTCTGAAGATGATCCAGCTTTGCTTCATATGATTGGAGGGGACCCATAAATTGCATTACATACATCTAACCAATATATATATATATGACCTACATCCCAATAATATTTCAAAATCCCTATAGTAATTTTTATCTTTTCAAGTTCAATTAAGATTTGGTCATTTATATTAAAATTAATAAATATATATATATATATATATATTTGGCATTGTCTAAAGAAAAATTAAGCACCAATTTGATACTTTTTAAAAAATATAAAGTTTTATTTCATTCAAACTAAATATAAAAATCTCACATTCTACACTAACAATATACATACATTTCTAAAACTACCAAGAGAGATTGAAGACATAGATAGCATTGAAAATTTGAAAATTTAAGAAGATAAAAATCAATAATAATACAATAATTTATTGGTTAATACTTTTATATTTTATTCAAAAGTAATAAATTTAAAATTTATTAAAAATATATAATTTATGATTATAATATTTAATTTGATAAGATTAAAAATTTAATTCATTAGTTATTAGTAAAATTTTAATGAATTTATTATATTTTTAAACAAAAAAAAAATTGTGTGAGAAATAAATTATTTTATTTAGAATAGTTAACAATAGGTTAAAAAAATTGATACAATAATTTTTTCTTTTTTTTAAAAAAAAAAAAGAAAGAAAGAAGATAGAGACAAGCATAAAGGTGAATAATTTATTTGGTTGTAAAAGCAAGTTTGAATTTGACCAAAAATAATTTATTTGTATTTATAAATAAAAGCCATGGTAGCTGGCTGGAGATCTTCTTTAAAGCTTTTTAATGGGTATCAAATATGAACAAAATTTTTGGTATTGAAGAAATATTAAATTTGAGCAAAACCCTAATGGAAAATCTCATTTTGCAGTTGTGTTAATTATATTTATTAAATGAATATATAATATACAATAGAGACAAATTTGTCTTAACAAAATGGAAGTAGTACTACTCTAATTTTTAGGTAAATATAAAATTTATTTTGAAAACTAAAAATATAATAAATTTATTAAAATTAAACTCAATTTAATTATTAAGCTAAATTTTTAAGCCTCACTAAAACAAATATTTAAGACCTTTGGGCCTCCCTAGTTTTCTTCAACTTGAAAAACAAATACAAATAAAGTAAGACAGACTGTAGACTCTTGAATTTGAAATTTGAGTGCCCAAAAGAGTACATTTACAAGAAAGAGACTAATATATTAACTCTTTGGTAATTTCCTTTGAAGTACAGTCGTAATATATTGAGAACTTACACGGTACAAGAACAGCAGAAATAAAACCATTAGGCTAAAGTCCGCTGGTTGATTTCAATCTCCAGGCAGGGGCGGCCTTCTTCCAGAAACTCTATTACCAGCTTTTACAGCACCACCAAGCTCAACTCCTCAAGTTTCTGCCTCAAGAGGAGGAGAAGAACTAGTGAGAGCTTGGTACTAGCAATAAAATTTTCAAATACGAAAGATGAGTATATAACATATTGATTTAAAAGCTGTGAAGTAACGGTTTTTCTACTGCACTCTAAAGTGCTCTTTTTTTTCCTTTTTTTTGAAATATAAAGTATAAATTTGCATTGATATAGAAATTGTAGTAGTATCGGTCATGTAACAATCGATGTATCAACAAGTTCTGCTAAATCCTCCATAAAGCTAAAAAGATGATTCCGTAACAAAAAAAAAAACCAAGGGGTTGGAACCGTCTATTCTTACAAATATCAAAACCATTCACACCTTCAACTCCATCAAAAACCCTTCTATTCCTCTCCTTCCACACCACCCATAAGATAAAGAGCAAAATTATATCCACTTGTTTATGTGCTGTAACACCCTCCCTTCCACACCCAAAGCTCTATAAGTGCTCATCCTTGGAAGTGATTTTCTAGTAGTTTATGGTAATTTAGTAATTTTGTGTAGTAATCAACTAATACCGAGTAACTAGTTCTCTATGAAGTTTAGTAACTTTATATAACTACTACACAAAAATAGCGAATTACTATGAAGTGTTGGAGAATTACCACAGTGGCACGATGCCTCCAAGCCACCATAGGATTTTCCATTAAACAAAACCTTTCATCTCCTGATATATGCAACTCATGAACCAAACACGAGAGCAGGTTTTTCACAAAGGTTAAGGTGCATAAAGAAACCGATGACGAGAATGCAGGCCCTCATTTATGTGACTAGAAATCAAACTCTATTATACCAAATCTAAGAGGTGAAGACCCAATTTACAGCTAAATTTGAAAATGTGTTCTGAAACTATAATTTTTTCTATCATTGCTCCCAACAGAAAAGATGAAAACATCGTATTGCAGAGCAATATAAAATACTAGATTAACAATGAAGGGAGGGGAAAAAAAAAGCAACCATCATTCCACCACACAAAGAATGGATTCACAGACTGATGTATAAGGATCCGAGTGTAAACAGGAGAAAATGAGCAGGAAACACTGGACCGGTTGAGGACAGAAGGAGAAAAATGGAAAAGTCCACAGGGAATCCAAACCCTTAAAGGGTTTACTGTTTAAAAAATACGGCTACGAGGCATGCATCCGGAGAAATCTCGAGGGAGACACGTTGTCTTGATCACTAAGGGGGTATTTAATCCTCTTCAAGCCCTAAGGTTATAACTGGCCACCGCCTCTTCCATCTTCATTCAATGAATCTAAGATTTTTCCTCCGCAACTCTTTGGCTCCCGTGGGACGTTCAGCTATCTATGAACTTATTCATGCATCTTTTCTTGTATATAATCTAATGTATTTGAAGTGGTAGGCATCAACAGAATGAACTATTTGGAATATATTTTCATCATCTCGCTCTGGATTTTTCTCTCGCCTTCTCTAAATCCCCTCTGTTTCTCTCTCTCTCTCTCTCTCTCTCTCTCTCTCTCTCTCTCTCTCTATCTATCTATCTATCTATCTATCTAAAACCCCGAACATATTCCTCCAGATCGAAAACATGTACCCAGGACCTGACATGATGCTTGTAATGAAGCAACTATTAGAAGAGCACTATAATCTTAGTGATCATCTGATCATTCGTTTCCATTTTTCAGTCAAAACATTAAAAGTTGAGAGGCTTTGGTTATAAAAGCTCTAAAATGAAAATCTACAGTCCTAGAATACATACAAAGACTTATAGAAATTGACTAACTGAAGAACTTATATCTATAGAACACATACCAAGACTCAGAAGAACATTATAATGTTAGCTATCATTAACCATTCATTTCCACTGTTTAGTCAAAACAGTAGAAATTCAATCATAGACCAATAAAAAATTTGGCCAACAACACAGAGAAATTATGAGGTTTTAATCATAAGAGCTCTAAAACAAAATTTTACATTTATAGAACACGTACCAAAACTAAGTCCACTTTCAGCGCAGTAGTTCTGTCAGCCCTCTCATAGACAACACAAAAGAAAAAGAGGTACCCATTGATAAGCAACTCTGATTCATTGCCTAGCCACAAAATTCACAGTCGTCTGAGTGACAAGAAAGCTTAATGCTGCCTCCTTCATTCAACTCAATTTTGATTCAAAGAACTGACTGAATCCTTCAAATTTGCACTCTCCCCGGTATGCCTTGATGAGCTGAGGGACATCCTTCTCAAACTCAGCAATAAACTTCTTTTCAAAGCTCGTCTTACTTGCATTGAGGGGCCAGACTAAATCCACATCCTTCCTTATCAAACCTTCTGAAATCAAAGTTTTCAGAACAAAGTATCTTGGCATAATTCTCCTCTCCAAACTCGCTAGGAAAAGATTCGGGCACTTGGAAATATCTGAGGGCTGCAAACCGGCCTTCATTGAGAAATCCATCAACTCCTTAATCTTACTCTCCGAGCAAAGCATCAACATGGGCTGAACCTTAAACGCAGTAGAAAATACATTTTCAGACCAGCCAAAGCTCATTAATAGCTCCTTCTTCCTCTCCCAGGTTGCTTTACTTACTGTTGCCATCGAACGGACAGCCAAGACAAATTTCTTCGTCTTTGGCTCAAACCCCATTCCCTTAATCTCATTAATCATCTCACTGAACAAATCAGCCCGCCACATAAGTGATTGAGGTTTCAACATAATTAGCCTTCCGACAAGGGATTTCGACACGCCATTTGCAAGCAAAGTGTCTATATTAGGCATCATAATCTCCTCAGCATTGCATCTAATTACTCGAGTGGATTGCTTCAAAGCATAAACAAGATCCTCACTAGTTTCAAGAAACCCTCTAAGGAAATCAAAAGTGGGAATCACATGAGTGTTTAAATTACGCAAAAGAATCTGTGTATTTGCACAGAGAACCTTAGGCAAATCAGGAGCTAAAATACCTAACGATTCAACATAAGCAATTTTGGGCTTCAGGTTTTTCTCTGGATCAGCCATAATCAGAGCTGGGTGCTTAGAAATTAGCTTCTCAATATCAGTCTCGCCAAACCCATGAGACCTTAAAAGTGCAAGAACTGAGTTCGCTCGTTCTGTGCTCCCTAAAGTAACAAACTTAGAAGCTGAGATCGCTTTCTCTCGAGACAACCCACATGAATCCACAAGGTAAGACACGATTACAGATTCTTGCTCTTTAGATTTAGCCGCTCGTGTTCGGTAACAATGAAGGGAACTGAGTTTCGAATCAATGGCGGTTCTACATTCAATCAGCGTCCTTCGCAGATAACTAAAACTAAACATGTTTTCATAAAAACGTTAATGGATAGACGAACTCACCCGAACCGAGTGACTGACTTGGTCTTGGTCTTGGACTTGAGCGTTGACGCTCCCAGCAGTCTAAAAAGAGGAGATTTTGCAGGAGGCACACTGGGAGACAGAAGCGGGGAGTAGTGCAGGGAAGGGAAATGTCAAGGAGGAGAGGTTTTAGGTTTCCAGTGTTTGCCGTGTATGATAAAGTTGGCTCCTTTAATGTTTCCGATCAGAAAGTAAAATCCCGTTGGCGGATGTCAGCCGTCGGATATGTTGGCATTTCTATATTTAATTTAAATTGCATATCCGCGACTCCATTAGATTAATACCTTTAAATTTTTCATTAATATAATTAATTTTTAAATATTTATATCTATTTATAAAAAAAAAACAAATTGTTGTTTTACTCCATAAATTATTCATCTTCGATAATCATAATCAAAATTACAACTATTGTAAAAGTCGTTTGATACAGTTTTTAATCTTGATTTTTATGTTTTAAAAGTAATTTTATAATTAAATATATAAAATAAAACATATTTTTGGATATAACTAAAGTCAATAATATATTTTTGATAGATTTAAAGATAAAAATTATAGGGAATAGATTTTAAAAAAATAATTTTTATTTTTATTAAAGTATTATATCTGTTCTCTAGTTATTTTTAAATTTTACAGTATAAATTATAAATCATCCGAACACCCATTTAGACACAAGGTCGTATTTGGCTCACCGTTCCTGTTCTATTAACTGTAGATAATAAAAGTAAGCCTTATTCAGCTTTTTTTTTTTTAACAAAAATTCTGCAATACATTCGATGACAATAAGAAGAGAGAAAGATAATGATATATATAAGCGGAAAGAACAAGCCAAATTACACATGGTTATGACCCATCCTTGAGAATCTTGCCGTCTGAATAAGATTCTAAGTATGAGATTACATGATCTGCTGCTTTGCACCCTGAGGCTACTGCTTTTCCAACCGACAATCCACCTCTGTGGTTACCTGCCACCACAGTTTGTTCATAATTAAGAATCATGCCATGGCATTGAGCACTTCATATTTCATATTACTTTGGGTATGATGGATGAAGGCAAGCAAGGGAGAATCAGAAATTGTTTTTCATTCCTTTGCTGGAAAGGGAGGATTGGTTTCGATTTGTTGTTTGCCTTCCCATCACCATATTTTTCTCCCTTTTTTATGTATCTCTCTCATCTTTCGAAACATCCAAATAAAAGGCCAAGATTTTCAATTATCTTTTTCGCATTTTCGTTCTCTTTTCATATCCCTTCTTTTCTTCTCCTTTCCAACTCCCAAATATAGCATTTTTGTCTCTCGGTAATATAAAATTATAAATGCTGAACATTATTAAAAGAATCTATCAGCATGATAAATCTCACTTAAGATGCCATGATAGTGCTGGTTATGAATAATCCATGAATTACAAAGTGACTAAATTGCAATTCTGGGTAGATGAACAGTTACCTGCATAGAAAAATCCAGGAAGATTTTTCTCCATTTTTCCAATGGCTTCTAGAACTGACCCATAATTACGCCCATAGAGCGGAAATGCTTTACTCCAATAGAAATGGCTGCCATCAAGAAGAATTACTTAAATTTATAAGGGAATAAATATAATCGTGCAAATTTAGTGATAATCATTTCGAGTTTAACTGATATAAGGCAAGAGGCAAAAGAAAAAAGAACATTTTAGTTTGTGCAATACTTCACAAATATAGGCTCTCCCTCAGCTCCCAGCAATTGCTGAAGATCAGACTTAACAATCTCCTTCAGCTCATCTCTATGGAAAGAGTTCGCAGAAAAAATTAGTTAAACAAAATATAGATCTAAGAAGAGATTGATTGATGGTGTAAACAGTTAAAAGCGAAGAAAGGATGATTAAGATCACCCTTGTCTAATCCTGCTTCACTGCTATCTCTAAAGTACAGAATCATGTTGGCAAAAATCAAAGACACTGAAACTCCCCATACGTTGATGCTCTTGCTAATTGATTGTTTCGACTTCCCCCAACAAAAGTTGTATACAGATGTAGATCGCTGGGGGCACGATCCGGGAACATCACTGATGAAAAAAGAGTGCCTGTACAAAGAATATGAAATGGGGATAAGATTAGGGCTAAAACAAGAAATGGCGCTAGTTATTCAATGATACTGTGCTAGAACCAGGGATTACCAAGAGTTTTTAGACCATTCTGCTGCTCCTTAGATGGAACAAGAACCCCAAATCCTTCAAGTGGTCTCTTGACATTCTCTTTCTTGAAGGTGGTGATTATCACTGATAGTGGCATATAATTCACCTGGCAACAAATGGAAAAGGCAATATTATGACCACAAATTAAAACTTTCAACGGGTTGAATACGTAAGAATTTAGAAATTGTGACCGGTTACTTCTTTACAAGGTTGTTTGACAATAACCAAATGATGCCAGCCCTTTTTCCCAGAAGCCAAACAAAAAGGCTTTTTTTTAAATGAAGACTAAGAAAAGATCTGATTTAATGAGAGCGCTATTGGAAATAAAATATAGAGCAAGAAAGCATGAAAGACATCAAAGGTAACACTGTTTAGAGCACTTTTTGATGCTCCAGATTCTCAAAGAAGCAACTACTACTGAACTCATATCCAGAAACAACATAAATAAAACAAAATAAATGAAAGAAGACTAAATGTGCATAAAGCATTTTCAGTCTCTGAATTGTTAATGCAAGGATAACTTCATTTTGCAGTCTGTCTCAGAAATTGAGAGCAAATCAGTAGCCATTAGCTAAAAGTTTTAAATCAAACTGCAGGAATAAATACCTCAGGGAGAAAGTCCAGAGAAAAGAGATCTCTTCCCTTTTTAATAGTCATTTCTTTTACACTGCACATTGGAGCCTAAGAAAAACAAGTTCCTCATCAGCTAATACTAGTGCCTTTGGTATAAATTATTCGTGCAATTATGACATTCATTCAGTACTTACTGTCATGATTACAGCATCAAAAGATAAACCTTGTGAATGCTTCTCATCATTAGAAGCACAACAAAGTGACCAATTATCTGATGCTCGCTTTCCGTCCTGATTGTAAGATAATGATAAAACCTTTGAATTCAATTTAATCTCATCTTTGAGGAGATTCTTGCACAGCGTATCAGTGAGTGTCTGCAGAATATGAGAATAAAAGAACCCTATAATTAGTTCAAGATTAAACTGTCTGCGCAAAAGATTTAGAATGCTAGCATTGATCCTATTTTTGGTCCACTGGATATTGAAAGGACCTGGGAACAAAAAAATTAGTTTCAGCAAAAGCCTAGAGAAAAGGCATTATACTTACTAAAGTACTAGGTTCATAAATACAGAGAATCTAAGTGAAGAAAAACATGTTTGGCTAACTCTAGAAGCTGGAGTTAAATTTCTGCCTTGATTAATTAAAATTTTCTGTTGTCAGTCTCACAAACTAACCAACAAGAATAAAAGGATGTGACACAAAGTACGATCTAGCCTCAATTTACAATGATATTAATTGGATTAACAATTTGTTACGACTTCCCGACTTCTCGAGAGTAGTATAGAAGGATTTTTTGACCAATCATTCAAATATCTTTCAGACAACAACTAAAATAATAAAGCCTATTCTTGATGATAGAAAATGCAGACAAGAATGTTCATTTAGCAATCCATGTAATAACTGTAAAAATTAATAATATTTATGTATCTGCCAACGAAGTTAAGCAGAACAGAGCACTTGATAAGCCACTAAAGAACCTTGACTCAAAAGATTGAAGAAACAAATAACATGCTTGAAAGTTCTAACAGTCAACAAAAAGAATATGTGAAGCAGAACAAAATATAAAATAGAAATTAATCAAACAAAACATGCAGTGAGACACACAATTCTAGTTGCTGACAGACACTGATAGAAGCAGTCTGAATTAAGTAAGATCATGTGCAAATATGTGGCAAAGAAAATTCAACATCATTACCTGCATTCCACCCTCAAAGGAAAAGGAACCACGCTGATGTTTCCTTTTGTCTGAAGAAATCTTTGTTTCTCCAATTTTATCACGTTTGGAAGACAACTTCGACTTAATTGCCCCAGCTATAACAGAGCCAAACCTGATAGAGAAGAGAACTTGAGACTTATTAAAAGGAAAAAAAAAATAAAAGAACTCATGAAATAAATTTTGTCAGAAATGAGACCATGCAGAAATGTCAATTTTTCCAACAACTACTTAGTCATGGAGCACAGGAAATTCCAAAGAAATATAAGAGTTCAGGGTTAATGTGGACTCCTAGAATCTCCTTTTAGGTCAATCTTTTAAAAAGGTAATAATATACTTTTCCCACAACCACTCCCATCCCAGATGTAGGATCAGAAAACTTGCACTTGGTAATGATATGCCAAACTGACACCCAATCCAATTGCAAGCATGGAAGGAAAGAAATCCTGTCTACATTCCTTAGGCGGGAATACTAAAGCCAACAAAAAGAAAGAATGTTGAAGCAATATACCTTCTCTCTAGATCCCATAGCTCAGGAAAGGAATGACACATCTGTTATAAGCATGAAAAAATAATCAATAATGCAGAAAAATTAACAAGCACCTAGAAATTGTCCTTGTGCAAACTTGTATACATAACCCAAACACCAGAGACATTACTCACAGAAAGGGATTCAGGATCTGCAGCACTTGTGCCAGCAACAAAGGGGTCAATGAGATAATCCACAACCTTGTCAACAAGAAAAACGAGAAGTTAAAAGAATGACAATTGGAAGCCACAAACATTCATATGAACGAGACAGAAACTTGTGAATATGCCCAGTGAAGAATCAAGTGATCAACAAATAAGTGGAGCACATTGTAGGCCTAAAGAGATAAGTCACAATAGGTTAATAGCAATGGAACTCAATCCATACCTCTTTCCCAAAATGGCGTTCAAAGAACCCACCCACACTGCAAGATAACAAATAACACAATGCTAAGAAGATAACTTCCTTAAAAAGTTTATTTAATAAAAGGGGCAACATGAGGACAAAAGAAGTTTAAAAGACCTTTCATGTGCACAACTGTCAGAGACTTTTGAAGAGTTGCCTTTCTTCCACAAAAATGGTTCCAAAATAATTTGCAACTGGAAAAACAGAAACACGTTGTTGGGCTAAATAAATAATCTATGCCTCTAGTGTCTGCCAGATGCAGCTATTAGTTTCTGGAGAAATTAGAGATTTTCAAGCAAAAAATACAGAAAATATGGTAAAGTTTAGCAGTAGGCTTGATAGATTCAAGTTTCAAAATTTAAGTTCATTACAACATTTTCATCAAAAATAAAAGGTAATACATGGTAAAAAATGAGGAGAATAGAAATATGAGAGACTTGGTTGTTACTAGGAAAAAGTCAACACATTATCATCTCTATTTTACATGGCCAACTTGAAAAAAGGAAAATGCTGATAATAAGACAATATTAACCACTTACCCTTCTTCCCTTGTGACTATCATATCATTGACGCCAAAGAAACATTACAAAAACCATTACAAATCACTTTCCTGTTTACTGGACTTCAAATTAACTCTGAGAAACAAACCTTTGATCGTGAAGAAAGAATACTGCTCTGGATGAATGCAATGGGATTGGAGGGGAGCTAAAATGAAAAATAGAATAAAGGTTAGAGTAAGAATCAGTTAGGAAATATCTTATTTTAGAGAGTATACCCCAGTAAGCCGAACATTGAGAAACAGGATATACCAGTACTGGCACTCCACTTCTTACAACATATCGCTTGTTCTGTGCAATAGGCTGCAGCAGATGGAAATAATCAAGTTATTGCAAAAGCTACCACGCTAAACTCAATCATTATTTTCCATAGACATATAAACCTTCAACTTTAAGCTGGAACTATCACTTCCTAAATTAAAGCCCTACCGGACTAAAACTTGGCCTAGAAAGATCAAGGACAGTCAACCAAAGAGGGCGTATGACTGTTAACAGGAATTGGACTTTACTCATCTGTCTGAAATTATTTAAAGAGCCTTACATATTGTTGCTTTTCACGAAGCCCAAGATCATCAAGCAAATTCCTGACTTCCATCTCACTCTCAGTCTGCAATAAGTCAAGAAATCCTTGGAATCAACATTACAGTTATCACACTTTTTGCCAAATATAAAGACGAAACCAAAATAATTAGCCTAAAACATATTAGAACATTCTAATGATAGAACAGCATCCTACTTATCCAACAAGTAATCTCTTAAACAATTAAAGTAGTACAGGCATAGTATCATGAACATTTACCATTGTATTTGCTCCCTCATCCCAAATAAGACCATTATGCGAAACACTTCTTAGCTTCCCTCCCGCTCTTCCATCAGCTTCAAATACGGTAACATTCAAACCATGTGATTTCAACTTATAAGCTGCAGCCAGCCCGCTTGAAATTCCCACCACAAAGAAACAGTCAAATTTTCTATACCAATATAAGTTCGGCAACCAAATTCAATAACTCTTAACACTTGAGTGTAGAAAGTGCTAGATGGAACAACATGTTTCTCTTACAAAATACCTAAAATTGTGTAACCGGATTTCTAAAAACTAAAAACCAGATTACCATATAATATAAGAATATTAAACTCTATTATATACAATTTGCAGAAGAAAATAATATAATAGCGTTTCACATCTTTGCATGCAGTTTAACTAAATTAACTATTCATAAATTTTCAATTCCTCCATGACAAAACCTACATTGTATTTCAAAGCATTGAAAAACCAAGAAATAAGCTTCTAGACAGCAAATTGAGCTAAACTAGGCGTTAAATTGAACTACACAAACCAAATCACAAACAAACCAAAATCCAATCGTGTCATATCTAACAACCAAGTTCATGAAGTGACTGACCTAACGCCTGCGCCTATAACAGCCACCTTTTTTCCAGAACCTGCAATAGCACCAAATGGAAAACAATGTTTGACTCTTAATTTACCGGGAAAAAACAAGTTAACTCTTGATCAATTACACGTTCTTATAGACTTTAAACTGTTTCTTCTGTCTGATAACTTTTACAGAAAAAGCAATTTTGAGAGAGAAACTTACCTGGCTTATCTTCTTTGGTTGTAGAGGCCATGGCTTGTCCTTCTGTGTGAAACTGAAGACTTTACAGAACTACGAAATTGAAATGCGAGCAGAGTAGGAGGAGGACGATAACACCGTTCGGTCAATTTTATACTGCGCCAAAACGGCAGTGTCTATTGTCGTTTCACTTTGATATTTTTTATTTATTTGGGCTGTTCAGTTATATTAGGCCTACCCGAGGCCCAAATGTTATAACGTTGTTTGAACCTCAAAGATACATCTGAATGGACTGAGGTTTAGTTTATAATTTTATTAATTTAATTTTCTCAATAATAATTTAGTATTTTATATAAATAAATTTATCAATTTTACTTAAATTTAAAAATAGAAATTGAGTGATAACTAAATAAGTTTTTGCTCCAGTTATGTTACTGTAAAATAACGAAAAAACTATTAAGAACTTTATATTAAACATATAAATTATAATTAACTTCTCAAAATATCAAATAACGAATTTATATAGATGTATATAAGAGTATTATTGGACCGACTTTTCATACATAAATACTATATCTATGAATGATGCATTTCGTCCAATCAATTTACTATATTTAATATAAAATAATATATATATATATTAATTATGCATGTAAAATTAATATAGAAAATTGGACATAATTATTGACCGGAAATTAAATGACAAATAAAATAAAATAAAAGTATACCCTAATTATTTATTAACTCCAATCCAATAGTTAAAAGTCTTGTCTTTTTATTCATACAAGCAATTATAAAATATTAATAATTTCTTCTTATATATGTTGTTTCTTCAAATGGAAATTCATGGCTTATAATATTAGATATATTCTAAAAATGGTATAAAGCGAACATATAAAGTTCCATAATTTAAATAAAAATAAATTCATAAATTAAATACATAAACGAAATAATAGAGTTAGAATTTATATTTCTTATAAAATAATTTAGAATGCTTAATAGGGATACAGATATATCTTTTCTAAAAGAACAAATAAAAATTAGAGAAATAAACGAAAAATAGATAACTAAGCATTTTATGACGACTTTCACTAACTTTTGAATAGAGTCCGAGCGGTGAACTATTCACAACCTTTTTATTGATCAAAATCTGAATCTTACTCATTTTGATTTGAAATAGTTAATGAAATTGTGAGATATACTATCATAATAAAAATATCATACTAATCACATATATGAAAAATTAAAGATTAGTAAAAATAAAAAATACAATCAATTGAACCCTTAATTTAATGTAAATTATTTATTATAAAAAAAAAGTCATTTATTCGATATTTACTTAACAAGTTTTTTCAAAAATAACATATGAAAACTCATATCCATACACTTTTTATTTTCACATACAAGATAATAAAAAATAATCATTTTTCATTTTTACCCGCTTACTAGTACCCCTAAGGGTCCATAGGGATGTTCTCATACTCGTGAACCCAATTTCTAATAAAATAATTAACTGGTCGCCCTATACCATGTCCGGTAATAGACACCAAACATTCCACTACCTCAATACCCCGTCAGGTATGAGGGTGAACCATATCTTCCAAATCTTACTGCTAAGGGACTTCCCAGCTCTATTTGACTGAGATAACGTTCACAGTAGGGTTCTCTATGTACTGGGTCCGTCCGCCCTTTTTTGAGTACCCAATAAGTCTGTTCCATACAGATTTCCGTCAGCATAACAATTAACCACGCAATACCGATAGCTCATTTTATATTCACAGTTCACTTAAACAAATAATATAGTTTAACATAGTCAAATAACCAATAACCGGAACACTAATAAACAATACAGGGGAAACAAATAACCAAATAACAAAAAAAAAATCATAAAAACCATCAATTCAGTTACGCACAGTATAATAGTAAATAAATATAGGCCAAACAGGAAAATAAATAGAAAATCGAAATGATCGTGAACTAACCAATTACGGCTCCACTAGTGACTTGTAATTATTTTTAAGGTTATCTAATTTTTCATAAAAATATACAATTATCGATTATTAAGTCTTAATTTACTGTAACGAAGAAAATAGTGAGAGATCCTTACCTTAATCGGTATTTTGGGATGTCACGCTGTCTACTATACTTCATAACAGGTACCGAATTTATTGAATTATCCATACAGGATCCAAAACACTTGTCACGTTCTTAAACATACCTTAAAAATTCAAAATAGGTGTCCAAAACTCATTTTGGCCAATTCTAGAGTTCCGGCACGGCGGTACCGTTGCCCACGGCGGCACCATCATCCACGTCAACGATTCACCTCGGTCTAGCCAGTTTTGGCCGATTTTGACCAGTTTTTAGGCAGTTTTTTGTCGTATCTCTGCAGAAAAACACGTTAGGAGACTTGATTAGCTAAAAAATCATAGAAAATTGAACTTACCAGCGGGGGGGATCTCCGGGTGCGGCGGCTCCGCTGGTGCTCCTTCGCGATTGAGGTTCTTTCTTCGGCTAACCTGCACAGAAGAGGACAGTGAACACAATAATCAAATAATCATGTGAAATAAGAATCAGAAATGGGCTCATCGGAGGGATTTTGGGACTTTGACCGTGGCGACTCCACCGGACTTCACTCGCGGTTTCCGGCTCACTCACCGTCCTTTTTGCTCTGATTTAATCATGAGGGTGCTCGGAATCAAATTTCGAGTGAGTAGGATAAATTTTTACCTTCTCGATGGTGACTTCGGTACGGCGGCGGTCAGCAGTCGGTCTCCTTCTTCGACGTCTGATTTTTCTTCTCCGATGGAAGCTAGCAACTAGGGTTTAGGTTCTCATGTGATATGAGGTATTTATCTCCATCCTGCTTTGACCTAGACCGTCGATCACGATCGATCTCGTCCGTCTGATCACGCCTAAGGATAAAATAAATTTGGACCATCCATCACGATTTGATATCGGTCATCTGATCGCACTTAAATGGAGAACGAATCCGGACCATCCACGCGTGCAAGATCGATCATTGGCCATCCGATTCCAGGGCACGCAGATCGCTCGCGTGGCATCCCACGTGACACCGACGTCAACATGTCTCGCCATGCGGCATGCTCTGCTTCGTCGGGTTTGCTGACTGGGCAGTCATACGTGACAATTTTTTTTATTTGCACTCTAATTCTCTGTTTTTAATTTTTCTTTTAAAAATACCCTACGAACCCAAATTTTTACTCATTTTTTTAAAAAATTATTTTCAATTTCATCCCTAACTTTTTTTTTTCATAAATTCAACAAAAAATAAAATAAAATAATTTTTAAAAAATTATATATTTTTTTATAATGTTAAAATTGATCCCAAACCAAATTATAGACCTAAATATTACATATTATATCTTTTTAATGCAATATTCTAATAAATGAGATTAATTATTTGAATTTTAATTGTCATTTTTTAAATAATTTCCATGTTGATTTTGTTTCTTTGAGTGGAGAAATCATGGCTTAGAAGCTTGGTTACCATCTTAAAAAGGGATAAAGTGAATGAGTACATATACATATATACTTTGAGTATATATGTGTGTGTGTGTGTAAGTATTTATATTTGCATTTACTTGTAAGCATGGGAACTTTGAGGCACAAGCAACTAGCTTTTACTTAATTTAGTTCCACTTATTGATTTTAATGATTCGATATATGTGATATAAATGTATATTGTTTTTTGGTGATGAATGGTTATTACTCTTTTAGAAACATGAAAACATTAATAGTTATTCAAAATAAATATATATAGATAATTCATGCCAACCACCGAATATTTTATATATTTATAGTAATTAAAATTATGAATTATATTTTACATGTTGAAAAAATAAATATATTATTAAGTTATTGAATAATTCGAACACGTTATTTTATAAATGCATTATGATATATCAAAAAATAATTTATAATATTTAATTCAGTAAATCTAATAATTTAATTTATTAACGTTTAAAAATAATAAACAACATTAATAACTACTGAAAGAAATGCATACCAATAATCTATGCAAGTCACTGTATAATTTATATTAGTTGAAATTACAAGTTATATTTATATGTAAAAATTAACGTACTATTAAATGATTGAAAATACACAATTCATCATTTTATAAGTGTATTACGAACTATCAATGATTAATCTATAATATTTAATTTAATAAAACAAATAATTTAGTTTGTCAGTGACTGTAGTTACCAAGTTATACTAACTTTCAGCAATTTTGAAAAAAAAAAATATATATACATTAGTAAAAATCTCTCAATTAGAACAAACTCAATATCTGATATAGTTTTTTTTTTATTAAAAAATAATGTGTATTACTTATAAAAAATTGTTTAAAATTGGTGAAAGAAATTTCTTAAAACATTATAGTAATATTTGATAATGTCTTATTTGACTAGTTTCGATAAAACGTAGAAAAAATTAACTTCCAATAAAAATATTTTCTCACACGATATTACCTAATGTTAATGACAGAATCGACTTTTACGTTATAATTATTATTATTTTAATATTCGAGTTAAATACAAATTTTTAATAAATATTTACACATAGAAATATATAGATACAAACATAGACTTATATTAAAACGTCACTTAGTGATTTTGCAAATTAAGTTTGAATTAAAGAAAAAAATTCAAAGATGGCTACTTACTTTTCTTTGACGAAAAAGATGGTTTATGGTTTATGGTTAATGGAGGTTTGCTTTAGGACCATTGAAGAACAAAAAGTTATCCACTAACAACATACTTGGCGGCAAAGCAAATTGAATGAATTCTAATTTTGAAATCAAATTATAAATATTTTATTATCATATATAATAATAATAATAGATTTGAATACTATGTAAATAATAAAATTGAAAATTAAATTATATGGGGGTAATTTAGTTAGAAAATTTATGTAAATAATAATAAGATAAACTAACCCATAAATTAATTCAAATTCCATTATTGGATTTTGGGTGTCAAATACTCGATTGCAAACCCTCTTCATTGTCCCAAATGTGGAAGACAAATGGAATGATCTCTTACCAATCAAATGGGCCAAAGCTTATTATGTTTAGTGGGTCTCTATATATATAGATATATACGT